ATACTGGGGTTGGCTGGGCGCAGTGGCTCACGCCTGTAATCCCAGCACTTTGGGAGGCCAAGGTGGGTGGATCACGAGGTCAGGAGTTCGAGACCAGCCTGGCCAACATGACGAAACTCCATCCCTACTAAAAATACAAAAACAATTACCAGACATGGTGGCACACACCTGTAATCCCAGCTACTCGGGAGGCTGAGGCAGGAGAATCGCTCGAACCCGGGAGGCGGAGGTTGCAGTGAGCCGAGATTGTGCCACAGCACTCCAGCCTGGGCGACAGAGCAAGACTCCGTCTCAGAACAAAAAAAAAAATACTGGGGTCATATTAAATTGCATTACTCATTTTTAGCACTGTATTCACACAGCAATACTGACCAAACAAATCAGTAGAATAAAATAACATACATTAGATCCATGCCGGCCAAGAACTTCCCATTCACCACTGGTAATTGCTATCTCTTCTTTGATAGGACACTTGAAATCACCTGAAGATAAATATAATTATAATTCAGTACATTATACCAGACTATAAGCAAATGAAACAATTAAGAACAGTACTCTAAGCTCTTTTTTCCAAAACGTTATGTTTGGGGTAATAACAATGTTTTGGAACTAGACACAGGCGGTGGTTGCACAGCATTGTAAATGTACTAAATGCCACTGCATTATTTATTTTATTCTTTTTTGTAGACAGGGTCTTGCTCTGCTGCTGAGGCTGGAGTGCAGCGGCATGATCATGGCTCACTGCAGCCTTGACTTCTTAGGCTAAAGCTTTCCTCCCACCCCAGCCTCCTGAGTAGCTAGGACTAGATGCCGCCAAACCTGGTAAATTATTATTTTTGGTAGCAATGAGGTCTGACTATATTACCCACACTGGTCTTGAACTGCTGGCCTAAAGCCCTCCCACCTTTGCATGTCAAAGTGCTGGGATTACAGGCATAAGCTACTACACTGGGCCTGAATTGTTTATTTTTAAATAGTTAATTTAATGCTTTATTAATTTCATTTCAATAAAAAAAAGTCTACCATTAAAAAAAAATCCAAGTTATGAGTCCTTACAATACTCTGGAATAATAATGGAATGATCCATTTAGATAATGTGAAACAGCAAAAGAGATTTTTTGGCAAAGCCAGAAGAAAAGTCAAAAGCACCTGCATTCTTGAATCTCTGGTTAGACAAATAAGTAGATTGACAAAGCATTTCTTTTTTTTTTTTTTTCTTAATTTGTTTCTGCTGATTTTTTTGGTAAAACTTTCCCAACACATTTTCAGATTTAAAAATAAAGTCAGTGTTAAAGGTGTTGGTAAGCCTTCTTGCTTGTATCTTTGTACCTCAGACACTGGGGTAAAGGAAGCAGTCCAGGGCAATGCAGTGATATTTCTGCCAGGACACTCCCCCTCCCCTAAACTCAGTAGTAGTTGACAGTATGACATTTACAGGCTAGAGAAACCCAAACACTTCTGTTCCACCACAGTGCTAGGTGGAAGTTGGGTCAGCAGCTGCCCCAAGCCAGCTTTATCTTCTGATTGTGGGATTTGGAGGAACAGGAGAACTGGCTCTTGGCCACTGTGAGGGGTACAGCTTTGCCACTCAAAGATACCTTATTGTGGCATTCAGAGAGCCAGGGTCCAAAGCTGCAGGGCTGGGGTCCCTGTCTCACTCGCACACAGATCATCACATGACCTGCCGTAAAGGCATTAAAACCAGCCCGGTGCAATCCATCCCCAGGCACTGGGTTAGGACTGGCTCGATTCCCTGGCACTTCTGAGGTAGCCATATCAGCTATTTCAACAAGGCAATTCTTCTAGAAATTCAACAAACTACTTTAAAACCCACAAAAGAAAATGTTTAATACAATTATTCTCCATTTGTTAAAAAATAACCAGGTAAGTGTTTACCATAGCAAATGTCAACATGTCCCATTTGTTTTTTGCTCTTTTCCTGTTCTGCTCTGTTGCCCAGGCTAAAGTGCAGTGGCATGTGATCACAGCTCACTGCAGCCTTAACCTCCTCAGGCGCAGGTGATCCTCCCACCTCAGCCTCCCAAGTAGCTGGGTCTGTAGGCTCATGCCGTCATACCTGGTTAATTTTTTTTTGTCTTTTTTGTAGAGATAGGGTTTTGCCATGTTGCCCAGGCTAGTCTCAACCCGCTGGACTCACACGATCTGCCTGTCTGAGCCTCCCAAAGTGTTGGGATTATAGGCTTGAGCCACCACACCCAGCACCCATCTGTTTTTATAAGCTTCTGTCTTGATGAGGCTCTCTCAGTGGCCTAAGGAACAGCTTAAAAAATGAAAATAGGCGAGGCGCGGTGGCTCAAGCCTGTAATCCCAGCACTTTGGGAGGCCGAGGTGGGTGGATCACGAGGTCAAGAGATCGAGACCATCCTGGTCAACATGGTGAAACCCCGTCTCTACTAA